CACTCTCACTCTCACTCTCACTCTCACTCTCACTCTCACTCTCACTCACACTCACACTCACACTCACACTCGCTCACTCACTCGCTCACTCACTCGCTCACTCACTCGCCCACTCACTCGCTCACTCACTCCCTCACTCACTCACTCACCCACGCACTCACTCACTCACTCACTCACTCACTCACCACCACCGCCACCGTCACCACGATCCCCAACTTGATCACCACCATCACCTCTCTGGACCCCAATGCGTCTAGATCTCTAGACTTTCTGGTTATAGACCTCACACACACTGTTTGGGGTCTCTTGGCGGGATAATTTTCTGGGACACCCACTTCAAACCATACCAGAAAAAGTGAGGGGCACTTCCTCCCGGCAGGTCCTGCAACGAAACACACCGAGGGATTAGTGAGGGGCACTTCGACCGTCCCAATCGCCGAGGAAACACGCCGTCGACGTCCCGCCTTTTCTCCCATCCAAACTTCTCCGACCTTTGGCGAGCGAGGCTTGGAAAACGAGGGCGACCTTTGTGGTCGAGGAAGAACGAAGAGGAAGGAAGGAAGGAAGGAAGGAAGGAAGGAAGGAAGGAAGGAAGGTGGTTTGAGAACGAGACACCATGGCCGGCACCCACGGCCGGCATCGAGGGGACAAGAGATTCTTGGACTAGAACTACCAAGACTCTGTAACTCAAAAGAAGAATCCAGGACGCTCCACCAGGCAGTTTGGGACCAAGCGTTGCCAACCTCCCAAAAGATAGACGCACATAGACGAAGCACTGGGCAGGTCATTTTGGCAAGTTCGAAACTCCCAAATCTCGAACAAAAAAGACAATTGAAATTGCTAACTGACCTGCCAAGTACTAACTGACATGGGCAGGTCAGTTTCTCTTTCGAATTGCTTCCAAGGCTCAGGTGGACTTTCAACTGCACCGCGGTCGCCGACACGGTCGCCTTTGGTCGTCGGTTTCGCACCGCGGGAGGATCCGTTCTGTTCCCGGTTGTACGCCAGGTCTAAGAGTTACCATCTGAAGGTCTGAGAATCAGGCATCCTAATATATTAAGATATCGAATGGAACAGAAAAACTGTTTCTTCCATGGCTATGGAGTGCAGTATCTTGTGGTGTCCTTAAAACGATCTCTCCTTCCTCCAAAAGCAAGAACTGTAGCTTTCTCAGCAGGTCGGAGACCTCCAATCGCCCCTGGGTGGGTAGACTGGTCTAGTTCCCAAACCCTCCCAGGGGGTCGAACTGGGAGGTGTTGGCTTTTACATGCAAGCATTTGTTTTTTTGTGACCTGGTTTTGTAGTGTAAAATCCTGAAACAAGGTCGGTTGTTTGATGGTGTTTGGAATTCAAACGAAATGAATGGAGGCAACTGGCAATTGGCCAGGCATTCTACCTAGAGCTCTCACAGAACTGAGGGAGCACCATTGCGGGAATGGGAATGAAGGATGGGCGACCGTCGGAAGTGTGCCAAGAGAGGCTTGAAGTATGCAGGTACGGTATGCAGGTACGGTACCATGCACGTATAGCTTGGTGGGGTGTTGGTTTGTTCCAGGTGCCTGGACCGGAAAACAAAGCAACAACCTCTCAATTCGGTGAGCAGCTTCAAAGTCGAGGAAAACACGGAAAAACCACCTTCTTGAACTGCGCTTCAGCCACCTCCTCCCCCGGACGCGCCACGGCCTCGGCTTTCTTCTGGCGTTTCGCCTGGTGCATGGAGCTGTCTGGCCTCACGAAGCCATGGCTGTGCCGCAAAACGGCGAAACATGCGGCGACACCGTGCGGCGTCGACGGTGAAAAACAGCTTCGTGCCAACGGTTTAAGCATGGGCCTGAGTGTTGGGGAGTGTTGTTTTTGGGAGGTCCTGGATGGTGAGAATGTGGGCTTCAACATCGATGTTTGATTCATGAAAACCTAAAAAGAACATGGTGTTTCGGCTTCGGGGGCCCACCGGTCGGTCTGCGCCTGGAGGCGTGTTCTTCTGCCTTGGCCATCTCGGAGTCCGTCTTGGTGTGATCCAGCGGTGGATCCAGAGGTGCATCTTCTAAGGAGACCTGAAGCAGCCTGGCACGGCAGGTCTAGACGGTCATTTGGATGACTGCACGACATGTGGACCTCTTCAGACCTCCGGATCTCTGTCCGTGTAAGCAGGCATATCGGCAGGCCCTAACTCAGCACCTACTCTGCCAGGAAATCGTGTTGGTCTTCATGGATGAATCTTCCAGTTTCACTGTCCCTTTCTTAGGCGGTCTAGCTATCGACCTCTTCACCTCCCCCCCTTGCTGCTTGCTGGTCACAAACCCCCGGAGCCACCCAGCCGCGCACCCCTCGCACGCCTCTGTAGGGCTGCCAGCGGAGTCGCCCGCTGGAGTTCGGCCAAGGTCTCTTGCCGCAAGTGCCGTCGCACGTGGAGATGCTTCTGCCTGACGCGGAAAGAGTTCGGCGTGGCGTTCGGAAAGGGAGAAGATCGGGATGGGTGTTTCCGAAAGGAACATCCACGGAATGAAGTAGAAGGGTGATGCTTTTGGGATGTTTTTGGCACATCTGGGGCCTCCAGTTGTGCATTCATTGAATCTGTCGTGGCTGCCATGCAGAATTGGATCCAGTAACTAGATCATCAAACTGGTCACTCACGCACCCTGCTCAGCAATTAGCAAAACACTCATGGCCCACCAGTTCAGTCAAAGCGGCCAGGCTTTGGTGCAAGGCCAGGCAGAGAGTGGAAACTTGGGCCAATCCTGGATGGCCTCGCGAAAGCGCGGCGCGGTCTCGACCGAACCCCTGTCTAGGCTCAGCATGCCCGGCAGGCAAACTCTGTCGACGTGTTCCACGAGAGAAGTCCAGATGTCACAAACAAGAGTGGTGAACACTTTGATATCATGGGGATTGTTTGAATATGCAACCCAGCTGCTTGCTCATCATCATCATCATCATCATCATCATCATCATCATCATCATCATC